AATAATACATCTAATTTTCTCTGTTCTAACATATAAACAATGCATGATCATTAAGACTTACTTCCATTCTCATCCATTCATCCATTATAATCTATATAAACATATTTGAATCAACATTCCGTAAATAACCAATATATATTACAACATTAATACCACATCCAAAACAAAACTGAGATTTTAAAAGGATGGTGTCACAAGACACTCAAGATGCTCTATTTTGGCTTTGTTAAGCAAGAAATTTACCTGACGTGTAATTTTATTGATGTAAATTACCCATCAAGATCATCCAAATTGTCATCAAAATTCATTTTTTATTTGGTTACGCAAAAAATCTATTTACGGTTTTTAAAAAACATCCAGAACTATAACATATCCCAAAAATGCTCGTTGATTTGCGTGATTTTGAATTTCAAGCAATCACTTTGTCAGAATTATATGATTCCAATGTAATTCTCAAATACAGTCAAACCGGTTTTTCTGCGGTGGGTAGGGACCGTACGAAAAAAAATCACATAAAAAAATCCTTCAAAACATCATCTGTAGCTATAAAAAATAGTTTTCAAAAAAAAATTTTTTTATGTGATCAAAAGGGAACGCATAAATGTAGGTATGACTGTACTGTAAATTATCAAAGAATGATAATATATAACCTAACTTTGATCCAAATTCTTCATAACTACTTCAGCACAAAACTACTTCAGAATTAAGGCTAAAATCTGTCTTTATTTTAGTTTTTCTAATTAGGAAAGCAGTTTTGTTTACCAAAATATTAGAAAATCTACAGCAGCAAAACTGAATCACCGATTTTTGTGAATGCAAATTCATCACAGGAACAACTCAGAGAAGATAACCAGAATAAGTAAACATTAGCTTAACTTAAGGTTAAAAACCGTTTCTTAAAAGTTTTTCCTATAGAACAATAATTTTCTTGGAACGAATATGTTAACTAAATCGAATACACAATAAATGCCTACGGAAAACGATAAAGAATTGAAACAATATCATAGAAATTGATAGAAAATTAATGTGGATCGGACATTCTCTGCGGAAGTCTTATAATAGTCGCACAATTAAAACCTTAAGAAAATAAACAAAAAGACTGCTGAAAACAAACATCACGACGATCACTGCTATAAAAATTAAATAGCAGAGATAAAAGCAGAGATTCTCACAGGTTTGAATTAAGATTTCGTGTTTCAAAAGGGGATGTGTAAAGAATAGAGGCTATTCGGAATTATGCTCAACGATCAATGCTCATTATTATTATTAACTAATTAATATTGACACATAGACTTCTTATAATTTAGAATTGATTTACACTTAAAACAATAAACTCTTATAAGAGTTTAAAGAATTGTCAAAAACTTAGAATTATATTGCAATAAATTATGAAAACTCTCAGATACCTTAATATGTTATCTACTAAATAAAGATGAAATTTCTTCAATTAAACATTAAGTAACTTTTAATTTTACACTTTTTATTATGAATACATATGTATACTTTATAAAAACATATCACTATACCTAGATATTTTTTTCATCAAAAAAACTTACCAAGATGTTACGTTACATATGAGTTATGTAGGGCAAGGTCCATAAGAACAATACCTACAAGTACAAAATGCAATATTATCATAATCACCACTACTGAAATAAAAAATATTATAAACAAACAAAAAAATTATATATGTATATAAATATATATAATTATGTTTATATGTAGTGCTAGATTTAAATGTGTAAAAAGTTGCCCCAGTGGCTTATATCAGTTACCGCTTAACTATTTTACCATAGCAGTTTATTTTACATAACTTTATGGTTGATGCACAAAACTCAGTAGAAGATAGAAGATATTTAGAAACAAAGTAGCGATTAGATCTATCTACGCATTACTGACAACTTACGAGTCTGTGTCAGTTGGTCTTCATTTTTAGTTTATATAAATTTTCATAAATAAATTAAGCTTTTTTTCTTATTGTTTTATAAAAGATAATTACTAATGCCTCAGTAGGTAAAAATTAGTGCTAAAGTGTGAAGTTGAAAAATTTTACTTTTACTTTTATGTGAAAGTGAAAAGTTAGTATTAATTATGAAGTTCAACGGAATTTTATTTACTTTAAGATGTGAAAAATGAAACCTAAAGTAAAAATAGTAATAATTAAGAGCAATAAAAAAGAAACTGTCATTGAGATAAATTAAGAGTTTACCGTGTTATCGTAAGAAATTAAAAATATAAAATCTTATCTTTATCTTAATTATCTTAACTCTTAAATAAAGTAATACTCAAATGCAGTTAGTTACACTTAATATTATTCTAGGTAGGCAAGTTTAGTAGCAGTCTTACGTCAAGCATCCTCTATTTACTGAAAACACTTTTTTCCACTGGTTAAACCTTGATCAGTAACCAAAGCTAAAAAAAAAAAAAATTATGCCTTAGCCTATTTTGGAAAGTAGTTAATGATCTTTACTTATTATATCATAACGATGTAATGCCGTACAATAGGTTAAGGTTGTTTATACAAGTTTTAACTTTCCAAGTTATTACAGTGACACAGAATGTGTTCTGTTGTTTCCTCTTCTTCGTGACAAAGTCTGCAGCTATCATCCTTTGTAATACCTAAATTCGATAGATGTTTTTTGACTCCGCAATGCCATAATAGCTCTCTAGTTTTGGCTTTTGATTGATTTAGCTTATGTGCATTCTTTAGCTTATGTCCAAGCAATTACATTATCCCTATCAGTCTAAGTTTCTTTTTTCAGTCATTCATTAATTCAGTGCTTTAAAAAGCTCCCTGAACGACCGCAGAATGGTTTTTCCCCAATATAATATGAGACCGCCTCTTTTCTGACTAGTTTATCCACTTTCTCATTTTCTTTAAATCCGCTGAGTCTTGGAATTCATATTAAGTGTACCCAGTTCCTTTCAGTAAGATCTTTAAGAAGTTGAAGGCTTTTCCACACTTGTTTTAAAGTCACTTGATTTGAGCGGAATACTTGGAGTGTTGATTTGCTGTCGGAGATAATATACATATATATTTTTCCCCCTGATGGGTTTGCCTTTATATTTTCTTAGATATAATTCAATTGCTTGTACTTTGCCATGAAAAACTGAATTTTCTTGACTTATACTCGCAAATATTTCTTCTTTTGGTTTAAACCAATAGACTCCGTCCCCACTACTTTCAACGCTTAGGAGCCAAACGTGTACCACAGATGGTAATCTCCAAGAAATAGAGGTATGTTTCCTTCCCAGTCAGAACGGAAGAATAAGAAGCATACTAGAACAACTATTATACTTTATTCAAAGGACTTATATGAATTTGGTAAGTTATTTTGTTTTCATCATAATATTCTTTTAGAATATTTAAAAAGATAGTTACAAATCAGGGATGATAGCACAGTACAATACTTCTAAGTTATAAAAGAATTTACAAAAGAAAATACTTTACCCACGTTTCGCAAATTAAAAGTTTCGAATACTATTTATACAAAACGTATAGATAATATTGTGATAGCCGCCTGGCTTTATACATTGGAATTAAGCAGCAATTTTTAAAACCATCAGAAAATACTTAATTAAAAATATATTTTAAAATATGTATTTCGTCCTATAAAGATATATTCCCCTTAAAAGATAATTTATGGCATGTATGTGTCCTAGGGTTCTATATATACGTCTATTGATGATTGATATTGATACTAAATTGAATTTGATAATACTTACAATACGAAATTGGTTTTAAAGCTTACAAATTGTGTACTTGTTCGATACCAAAACTTAAGAGAAATTGCAGAATAGCGTTATACAGATGAGATATAGTAATCCTCAGTATTATAAAAAATTACTAGCCTTTCATTATATCCACTAAATTATTTGTGTGTACATATATATATGATGCAGCAATTATTTTCTGTAATCAACTTTGCTTTGCAGTTTAGAGAATGAATAAGTAAATCCTATACAATCATATATATAAAGTATAAAGTACTTCTAAAGAATGTTATTTTTGCTAACTTCTTGCCTACTTCATAGTTAAACTTATTGCAATTTAACATGTTCTACAGTTCAACGACTTTACTCCTTTCCAGCTAGGCAGACAAGGTCAGCTTTGTTAAAATTACAAGTATCTTATGAAACCCTTTTTTAAATTAAGTTCTTAAACTGCACAAAGGAGCAACAATATACCTGTTAATAATATCAAACGAATGTATCTTTTGTATGCTGTGTTAAAATAAAAAGAAAAATAAATTAAAATGGCATGTATAGATAAAACGAAAAGTTTTTTTTGTACCTAAAACTTTTTATTTTATTTAATATATAATGGAAATATATTACACAATGTAAATGACTACATTAGGCAAAAAAGAAAAACAAGAATCAGTACATGATTTAAGACATGTCCAGTTCTGAAGTTAATCCCAAACTGAAATCAATGCACTTCATCAGAGCTCTACTCGTAGTAAAGTTAGAATGAGATGTGGTTTAAAATGGAGATTACTGATTACTGAATCTTACATGGCAAGATATACCACTTAATTTATTGCAACATGGCAGATAATTTCATGCTATGTTACTTCTAAATGATCTATTTGAATGTTAGCAGTACAAGCAATAAGTAAAAATATCTGTACAATACAGTGATATGATTTATCTGTAATTTTATTTTAGTAATATCTCTTACAAAATATTTTTATGCGCTATAAAAGTAAGTGCATAAAATATCTATTATCATAGATTTACATAACAATTTTAAAATACTCACACTTTAAGTATCAAACTATAACCATCACAGGTATATTACGGAAATATACCTTTCGTATAAACAATTTTAACTTTAAATTCTTTTTCATATCAACTTCATTAAAAATTATTTGTTTCATTTTCTTTTATAGGAAAATACAATAATTTTATTAACCAAGAATAAAGACGAATTCATTCAAGACTGGCTTAAAAATAGCAGCAGCGGCAGCAATAGCTTTATTTTTTAATTGTGGGAGATGTCTGCCATAAGGCATCGCCCTCTGGCACCTCCAGGGACGGGCGATAGTGATGACAATTTTACAGATGATGAGAGCACTCCATTAACTCAAGATATTTATGGCGGAAGGTAAGTTTAATCAAACAATCACACAAGTTATGTAAATAAAATGATGTTGGTGACATCTTGAAATTTATGCAAATTGCTACTTTGTAACGAAAAAATATGGAAAGAAAACATTTATACAATAGCTACTTCATGGTTGATGGTTAGCATAGCTATTGTAATTTTTTATAAACATAAATAAATTATATACCAGGAGATATAGAATCAAATCTTATAAAATGATTGTTTTGTTTACATAGTGTATGCGTGTTTGTGGTTGTATTATTTTTTATGTGAATAATAAAACATCAATAGATAAACATAGCTGGATCTACAATAAATTAATATTGAGAAAAAAATAGTTGAGAACCCATTATTTGGACCACCTTAATAGTGATGCAGAGTATTTCTAACATAAATCAAAATTTTAAAAGTAATAATAAAATATTCCTGCTAAAAACTATCTAAAAGTTGTTTTTAATTCATTTAAGGAATTTATTTTAAAAAATTAAAAGACATAGTAAAATATTCTTAAGTCTTTTGTAAGATAACTTATATGTTATCTTACTGCAACATAATTACCGGAAAATATTTCTTTTCATTCTGTGTGTCTATTTGATGATACTATAGAGCATATGTTACTTTCATTTTATCAACATAATTAATTTTAAAAGATTTCAACTATTTATCACCTTAAACCGTCTAGATTAAAAAAAAATATCTGATTAAATTTAGAATCCAGCTAAATTTACTCAAAAATTAAGAAACTAGTTTTCATATAACAGACACAGATAAGCAGATAAACTGAAAAACTTATAATCATACAGATAATAGAAGCGATTCGTCTCATATTGCCTTTCAATCAATATGGGTTATCCATATCGATATCTTAATTTAGCAGCAATGTTTTAGTGATATATGTTAAACATATCCAAGTAAAAAATTGACTTTTTAAATTAAATTTTAGATTTATACAAAATTTTGTAGGTAAATAAATGATAATTCTCATATTCTTTAATTTTTTAATGCTCTAAATTATTTTGTGAAGAATATTTAATAATGGAGTGGGTTGATGGCTAGAATATGTTCGTATAAGTTCGTAATCATAATGTAAATTAGTTGAAATCTCTCTTCAATTTTGAATAAGGAGATCTTTTATATAATATACGTTATATAGTCGATACATACTTTTGATATTGGCAAAATAATAAAATACGAATTTTACAAACTATTCTATAAGGTTTACTTATACGAAATGAAGTATCGAGCATAAGCTTGTAAGAGATTAAACTGCACCCTAAGAGGTAAAAATTTCATAAAATTTTTATTTTTCATAAAATGTGGGGGTTATCTAATTCCTGTTTCTGATTTGGTAGCACTGATGCAGTGATATATGTTTAAAACTGTCGACTAATAATATTCAATTTATATAAATTTACTACAAATATAGTGATGATTTCATAAATGAATTTCTTTTTTGGCTTGATAGATGTGTCAATAAGCAATACTTTAACATTTGGATCTTCTGGAACAATTACAAACCATAAATAACTGTAGAAAGACCATCACATCCATAATAAGCCATTGTACAGTATAATATTCAGTGCAAAGATGTGATAGACCCAGACTTTTTAGAAAATGACGAAACTGTAACAGAAATTTCAGTCGTTTCATTCAGTTGATTACCAATATTGTTTGGCACGGCTTCGAAAAACCGGTATTAAAAGTCGCTCAATACATCCTATCTTGTCTTTGTTAAATAAGGAATTTTTCGGACGTTTTTTTTGTGTGGAGTTGTGCTAAAGATACTGTTTACCTCTAGACATTTTAAAAACGAATATTTCTCAAGTTATAAAAGAGCTATTGCCAGTTAGCTGCCAACAAATCTTCAAAAAAATACCGCCAAAGTATTCAGTAATGTAAGATATTCCGAAGAGGATATTTGAATGATGTTATATACCACATCCAGTGGCAAGAAACCTATGTATATTAAAAAAATATAGAAATTTCAAATACAGGTATATTTTATTTATTTTTGCTTTTAAAAACACAGAATGGATAACTCTAGACCTATTCTTTTGTAAACATGTCTTAAAATAACAAATAAAATAAGCACTACTTTCGAAATCATTCGTTGCCAATTAACAAAAAATTTCATATATATTTTTAAAAAACGTTCACAATAGACGAATTTTTAGTCTTGACTACCATGCGATTTGAGCTGCTTATTACTTAAGCGGTTTCAAAAAGGTTGGACTAAATAAACCAGCAGTGTTGTTGTTTCATATGCTATTTTAAAAATAACAGTTATTCTTTTGTGATATGCTTACAAAAGAAAAAGCCTTCTGTAGATATGTAAAGAATAAGATATCACACTTCTTCAATGCGTTACAATAATTGTGATTAGCTTAATATACTAACATCTTCTAATATTATAATATACGATATCTTCACATCGTGTATGGGAATGCCATGCATATAATGGAAAATGCTGTAGAAATTTATTTTTTTGTCCTTAAAACTATTCTAGTTCAGTGGCTTATATTGTGGTTGTATAATATCACTCAAAACGAAGAATATTTCGTTATTTAGACTAACTTTAGATTAATTTAAGTTTTGAAGGGGTCACATTATACAAGAAACTATTTCTAATAATAATATTCAATAAAATGCTTATACCATTTTTAATTGAAATTTATTGTTAATTTAGATTGTTTTTCACATCGGTACTACTATCTTATAATGAAGTTATAAATATTTTGAGTTAAAATTGTATATAATAATTTTTTCACAGTTCAGAAAATTTTGTTCAAATAATTTTTTTAATCAAAACTGAAACAATTTCTTGAACAAAATAAATGACCCTCAGTCCACATAGATTTGATCGTTTTACGTAATTCTTCACACCGTGAAGGTGTGGTCCATTCAAAAATAATTACTGTACTTTTGCTTAAGTGTAACACCAATTAAAATTGCTTTGAAATGCCGGAAACTATTCTACAATTTTTAATGAACCTCACCTCCAGATTGTAATGAACAATAAAACAAGAAATTTTTAAGACAATCACCTGCCATATGAACTGTAATTATTATTAAATTTTTATTTATTGCTTTTAATTTCTTGCATTTTTATAAATAATTATTACTACTTACATAAAATTCAAATCTACGTTATATATAGCATTTTTTAATATACTATAGATAATTGATTTCTGTACAATTAATGCTAAACAAAGCGTCAATTATTATATTAGTTGCATATTAAATACAATATAAATATTTATTTTATTAAATAATATATTTTATAAAGATTTAAATGCATATTAATTATTTCCTTTATATTTTTCCATTTTAGTCAACGCACTATACAAGAAACAAAAGGCTGGGATGTATTTCGAGATCCACCCATAAAAGTCGAAACTGGTTCAACTGCCAATCAAGAATGTTTAGAAATTACAGTGAAAATTTTAAAAATATTTGCCTACATACTAACATTTATAATAGTACTAACGGGAGGGGTGGTAGCAAAAGGCTGTGTCTTATTTATGACATCACAATTACGTAAGGATAAAAAAATAGAATATTGCAATAAAGATTTGGTGAGTACAACAATCATAAAACACCCATCTATTGATCCAATATAATTATAATATCGAAATACTTTTACAGGGTCGCGATAAGACTTTCATCGTTAAACTGCCAGAGGAGGAGCGGATAGCATGGATATGGGCACTAATGATAGCTTATGCGATACCAGAAATCGGTTCACTTATACGTTCTGCACGCATTTGTTTTTTCAAAACCTTCAAAGTACCAAAGACTGGTCATTTTCTATTCATCGTACTAATGGAGAGTTTTAGTGCACTCGGCACTGCACTGCTTATGTTTGTTGTACTACCACAAATTGATGCTATACAAGGCGCAATGTTAACGAATTGTCTATGCGTGATACCTGGCATATTAGGATTATTATCACGCACTTCTAAAGAAGGCAAACGGGCCGTAAAAGTTATTATAGATATGGCTGCTGTAGCGGCACAAGTAACTGGTTTTGTTATCTGGCCATTATTGGAGAATCGTCGAGAATTATGGGTTATACCGGTAGCGTGTTTAATGATGTCATGTGGATGGTGGGAAAATTACGTTTCTCCTCAATCACCTTTCAGACTGATTCGCGCCATGGGACATATTAAAGAAGAACTAAAATATACACGCTACTTCTGTCACATGTTCATATCGATTTGGAAAATATTTCTGTTTTTCTGCTTAGTACTTTTAATATATTGGGTACAAGGTGAAGAGCCTGGAAATATATTTAGCATGTATAGTGATGCATTCGGTCCACATAAAATATCTGTTGACGAGTTGGCAACAAGTTTGACTAATGTTCTACCAGATACTTTAGATGCAGCTAATATAGATACCATCGACATTGATGCCTCACACAATATGGTCATTTATGTATTACTTTTACAAATTTTTGGTGCTTATATGTGTTATATCTTTGGAAAATTTGCTTGCAAAATTCTTATACAAGGGTTCAGTTATGCCTTTCCAGTCAGTTTGACAGTACCTATCACTGTTTCACTGCTGATAGCTGCTTGTGGTTTACGCATCGATGATCCCTGTTTCTTCCATGACACATTACCAGACTATTTATTCTTTGCGAGTCCATCAAACTTTAGATTTAATGATTTTGTTACACAACAAATGGCCTGGGCTTGGATACTGTGGTTACTAAGTCAAACTTGGATTTCGCTGCATATTTGGACACCAAAATGCGAACGTTTAGCTACAACCGAAAAATTATTTGTTAAACCTATGTACTCTTCCTTGGTTATTGATCAATCTATGGCAATGAATCGTCGTAGAGATGATCAAGCAGATGTTAAAACAGAGGTAAAATATTTATTGTTATTGCATTTAACTTATCTTCTAACGGTATATATGTATATTTTATAGGATCTCTCCGAAATTGAAAAAGAAAAGGGTGATGAATATTATGAAACCATATCTGTGCATACTGATGGTTCAGCTATGCACACTAAACCAACAATCAAATCTTCTGATCATATAACCAGAATTTATGCTTGTGCTACTATGTGGCATGAAACTAAAGATGAAATGATGGAGTTCTTGAAGAGTATTATGCGTATGGATGAAGATCAATGTGCTAGAAGAGTAGCCCAAAAGTACTTGCGTATAGTGGATCCAGATTATTATGAATTTGAAAGTAAGCAGTTTACTTAGTAAATATATCCTAAAACTATATTACATTATGTATGTAATTGGTTACATTTTTTATTTTATTTATTTAAAATTTATTACACTCCTTAGTAATTTATTGGTTTTTTGTTTAGCACATATTTTCTTTGATGACGCTTTCGAAATTTCGGATCATAATGACGACGATATACAAGTAAATCGCTTCGTCAAATTACTTGTAGCGACTATGGATGAAGCCGCCTCTGAAATTCATCAAACCACAATACGTCTACGACCACCTAAAAAATATCCCGCACCTTACGGTGGTCGCTTGGTTTGGACTTTACCTGGCAAAACCAAATTTATTACACATTTAAAAGACAAAGATCGCATACGTCATCGTAAACGTTGGTCACAAGTAATGTACATGTACTATTTGTTGGGACATCGTCTAATGGAATTGCCAATATCAGTGGATCGTAAAGATGTAATTGCAGAGAATACTTACTTGTTAACCCTCGATGGTGATATTGATTTCAAGCCCGCTGCTGTAACATTGCTCGTGGATTTAATGAAAAAGAATAAAAATCTAGGTGCAGCTTGTGGACGTATACATCCAGTTGGTTCAGGTCCTATGGTATGGTATCAACTTTTTGAATACGCTATTGGTCATTGGCTGCAAAAAGCTACCGAACATATGATTGGCTGTGTACTTTGTAGTCCTGGTTGTTTTTCACTCTTTCGTGGTAAAGGTTTAATGGATGACAATGTTATGAAAAAATATACTACACGTTCCGATGAAGCTAGGCATTATGTGCAATATGATCAGGGTGAAGATCGTTGGCTTTGTACGCTATTATTGCAAAGAGGTTATCGTGTTGAATACTCAGCTGCATCGGATGCCTACACACATTGTCCTGAAGGTTTCAATGAATTCTATAATCAACGTCGTCGTTGGGTACCTTCAACTATAGCCAATATTATGGATTTACTCGGTGATGCTAAACGTACTATTAAAATTAATGACAACATATCGTTGTTGTATATTTTCTATCAAATGATGTTAATGGGTGGTACTATACTTGGTCCAGGCACGATCTTTCTTATGTTGGTGGGTGCTTTTGTCGCTGCTTTTCGTATTGATAATTGGACATCGTTTCACTATAATATTGTGCCTATACTGGGTTTTATGTTTGTTTGCTTTACGTGTAAATCTAATATACAACTGTTTGTAGCACAAGTGCTTTCGACAGCTTATGCGCTTATCATGATGGCTGTTATAGTCGGTACGGCATTGCAGTTGGGTGAGGACGGCATTGGTTCACCATCTGCGATATTCTTAATAGCTATGACGGGGTCATTTTTCATAGCGGCGTGCTTGCATCCGCAAGAGTTTTGGTGCATAACATGTGGTTTAATATATTTGCTCTCGATACCTTCCATGTATTTGCTACTCATTCTGTATTCTATCATTAACTTAAACGTCGTCACTTGGGGGACCCGTGAAGTTGTAGCAAAGAAAACGAAGAAGGAAATGGAAGCTGAGAAGAAAGCAGCAGAAGAAGCTGCTAAACGTGTTAAACAAAAAAGTATGCTCGGTTTTCTGCAAGGTGGCATAGGTAATAATGCTGACGAGGAAGGATCAGTAGAGATATCGCTTGCTGGACTATTTCGTTGTATATTATGTACGCATGGCAAAACAAGTGATGAGAAAGCGCAATTAACTGCAATAGCCGAATCTTTGGACACAATTAAATCACGTTTAGAAACTTTAGAGCATGCCATAGATCCACATGGACAACATACACGCCATGGACGGAGACGCACTACATCAAGCGGATCTAAAGATCATCATTTATTGTCCTCTGTAGCAGAAAAATCAGGTGATGAGTCGGAAGAATCAGATTCAGATACTTCAGCAGAACCCAAACAAGAACGTGACTTCCTTACCAATCCTTATTGGATAGAAGATGCCGATTTGCGTAAGGGTGAAGTAGATTTTCTATCAAGCGCTGAATTGCAATTCTGGAAAGACCTTATAGACAAGTATCTTTATCCAATTGATAATGATCCTGTGGAACAGGTAAGTTAAAGTATACGTTATACTTTTGAAAATTACAAAAGTGGATTATAAAACGTACGTGCGATGTTGCCATATTTAATTACTATAAATTTTTTTATTTAGCAGTAACATTTGACCCAAACTAGTAGTGTTGCCATATTGTTATAAAATTAAAATTGTTTATATTAATAAAAAAATTAAATTTTAGGCTAGAATTGCTAAAGATCTTAAAGAATTGCGTGACTCTTCTGTATTTGCATTTTTCATGATAAATGCATTGTTCGTTTTAATTGTATTCCTTTTGCAATTGAACAAAGATAATATTCATGTGAAATGGCCATTTGGGGTGCGCACGAACATAACTTATGATGAATCCACACAAGAGGTAAATTTTGTAAGGGATCACGGGGATGACGTCAAAATTTTAGGTATAATTTTAAGTATAGCTTTAAGTATAAGTTAAGATATAATTTTAGGTATAAATTTATAAGAGAAGTTTTGACGCCTTCTTGCGGAGATCCCAGTGTATACTTTACTAACATATTTTTCTTTTTTTTCTTTTATATATTTTTTTAAAAAAATTATATTGAAAATGATTATAAAATGCTTTGTGCGGTGATGTGCTGTGCTAAATAATTAAAAATTATATTCGAAAACCATGTTAACGAAAAACATGAATCCGACATTGTGTATATGTAAACAATCAGGAACGGATTGCAGCCGATCTGATTGAACTAAGGAATAAGTCGGTCTTCGCATTTTTCATGGCCAACGCTTTATTCGTATTAATTGTATTCTTGTTACAACTCAACAAGGACAAATTGCATATTGTTTGGCCATTGGGAGTCAAAACAAACATAACGTACATTGAAGAGACAGCTGAGGTTTTTATTATTTGTTCAAACAAACAAAATTTATTAATATTCTTGTTCATTGTTTTTTGTTTTGTTTAAATTGTTGTTATTTTTGGTTTTTTACGTGTTTCTAACTACTCACAAATCTGGTTTTAATCATTTTTGTTTAACTTTTATTTTTTTTTTCTCTAAATTTTATCATTTTTGGTATTTAATCTAAATTAATTTCGTGTACTTTGTTCTAATTTCCCCCCTCTAATCACATATCTACTTACTGCTCTGTACTTCTCTATTTACTTCTGCAATAAACACAACAGCAACACTTCTCTAAAATTGCTCAGATTGAAGAAGAAAAATATAGATTGGATTAAATTCGTTAAAAGTTTGTTTCTTTCAAAGACAGAAATAAGATTTAATTAAAATATACAATAAGACATATACGGAAACATTTACGATAATGTATCTTATTATTAACCTATTATAATAGTAAATACTTAGATAATGGTCTTAGTGTATTACTATTGCAACTCTGCTAATACCAAGAAAAATAGACTTTAATGTAGAAGTTTCATTTTTTTCGTATCGCTTATATAAATTTTGTACACCTACAAGTGCTACTCAGATTCACATTCGTTTGATTTAATAGGTTATATCCATTTGAATAACGAGATATTAATATAACACATAGAGCATGTAGGTATTTCCTCAATATTAGTTAACTTTGTGCTAACGATTAAATAGATCGGGTCAAGTTAAAAATGTCGTTCTGAAAATTAATAGAATTACTTAAACTATTTGATTCATTTTAAAATAATTTAATTTTTTGGAGTAGTACCGGTATACTCTCTGTTATTTGCTTAATAATATTAATTAAATAAATATTTAATTCCTAAATTAAATTAATAATTAATTAATATTTAACTCTTAAATTAATTTTAAATATATAAATGATTTAAATATTTTTTCATAGAATAGAAGAGAAAAGTTGAAGACAATATAGTCTTCAACTGGTAAAACTTCAATAAGCGTGACTCAGGTAGTAACAGTGCAAATGTGGATACAATACATATATTTTATTTAACTGATCTATCAATTTTAAATTAATTCAATTAAATTTCAATCACTTTATCTTAAACTAAAATTATTACTACATAATCAAATCAAGGTGTCACCAAAGAATCCACCGCTGGATCAAATAAACTAATTTTTAAAAGTATAGAACTGTGATTATTTTAAATAACATATGTACAAATAATATTTGGTCCAAATCTCTCGCAATATGAGAAACACTCTGAAACTTTTAGTGATTGAAATATACATATTTATTTTCATTTAAATATATGAAAATATATGTTAAATTTATGTTTTATGTTAAGCCCTCTTAACGATATCTTAAAGATTTCTGTATGGTACAAACATATAAAGTAACTTTCATGTCATTTCGACATATTCAATATTTCGTAACAGATTTATTCCAGTCCTCAAATAGGTTCATTCTTTACAGCGACATAACTTATAGGTCTTCCGATATGTTAAGTAAATCATGAAAAATTTTTTAATATTGATCTAAACATCAAGCGTGTAAACATCAAATCAAATATAACTTGTAAGCTTCTTAAAGTCTTTCATAGACATGCTATTAAGACACACTTTAAAGAATATTGTCAAAGTTGTCAGAGAGGGAGAAGAAAAAATTTGTTTATTTTCTCTGTCACTGTCTGACACTCTCCACAAGTTATCGATTCACTAAAAGTTCTCACTTCCTTCCTTAAATGTGTAAGAGAACTGTCAAAGTTGTCAGAGAAGGAAAATTTGTTCATATGCTCTGTTCCTGCCTGACATTCTCCAGAAGTTATCGATTTACTAAAAGTTCTCACTTCCTTAAATGTGTAAATGTGCACCAGTTCTAATAAAAGTCTCCTTACCCTTAGCTATCGATTTACTAAAAGTTCTCATTTCCTTAAATGTGAAAATGTGTACCGGATTTAATAAATGTCTATCAACCCAAGTTTTATACAGTCCGTGCCATTACTATTTTCTGTGCCATTACTATTGCCCATTTCTTAAGCTCTATGTGAATTCGATTCCATTAGACAGACGTGTTGCCACTGATAGCTTTCATTAGTTAAAGTAAAGATTTTATGTTGATGTCTAATAGGTCGATATTTTATTTCTCTTTGTATTGGATAATGTTTAAATATGCTCTCTTATTCTGTGTAAAAACCAAAAACCTTTATTCAAAAGGATTTAAGTAAATCCGTTTAGGGTTCTTAATAATAATTTTGGTGATGGATGTGTACATATTTTCTAGCAGATGTGATAGTAACTACTGCGGCGCTCATTAAATTCAGATGTAAATCAAAAAAATTATTACGTCTTAGGGTTATTTTTATACAATAGATGGTTTAACGATTGTATAAAAATCCCTAGAGACTATTTAATTATATGTATATTAAAATTTAAAGTTTTTAGTTAACGGGTCTTCCATTGCATACACAAATAGGAAATAATTATGGTTAAAAAAATGGTTTAAAGTAATTTTTATTTTTGAAACTGGTATATGTCATTTAAGAATAAATGTTTGTTTAGTTGTAAATACAGGGAAAAAAATTATTTTTAAAAGAGGAAAAAAATCACAACGAATGCTGAATTCTCATACAAATACATTACAAACATTTTTACAAAACATCATTATATTTCTTTGGTGAACTGTGAATCATAAATACTAAATGAATTTCATTTCACATATAGTCAAAATGCTTATATCGTGCCTATGGAAAGCATAAAGCATTAAGGACATTTAATAATTTTTTTAAAGGGTTCAAATCTTGGTAATATTATATATAAATAATGATAGATAAGATTTTTATGAAACACAATGTGACACCTTATTTACAACAGCAGAACTGTTAATTATATACATATGTACAATATTAAAAAGTATATTTATGTATAATTGCACTGAAGAATGAAAATATTATTAATTTATTAGTTCACACAGCTTTTTATAATTGTGCTCGCTTTGTAGAATTATTTTAAATTATAGTTTTAGTTAAGCTGTAAGGGTATTCAGGCCAAAGTCGATAAATCGGTAATTGGAAGACTTTAACGTATTATTAGTATTTGTAAAATTATTGTGTTACCGCTTAGACGAATACCGATCTAAATATCCCTAGTAGACTTTCAACTTATTGAACTCGTAAAAAACATTCTTGTTCCGAAAACTCGGTATATCCATACTTATTAACTATTTTCGGAAAAATATTCGAATTATTGAACTCAGAAAAAATATTCTTATTCTAAAAACTCGATATATCAATATATTTTTGGATATATCAATGCGTATTAACTATTTTCGGAAAAAATATTCAAATTATTAAAGTCAGAAAAAAATATTCTTATTCCGAAAACTCGGTATATCAATACTTATTAACTATTTTCGGAAAAATATTCCAATTATTGAACTCAGAAAAAATATTCTTATTCCAATATCTCGGTATATCAATATATTTTTGGAAAAAATATTCATATTAACATTCTTATTTCGAAAACTAGATATCAATGCGTATTAACTATTTTCGGAAAAAATATTCAAATTATTAAAGTCAGAAAAAATATTCTTATTCCGAAAACTCGGTATATCAAAACTTATTAACTATTGTCGGTATACAAATGTGCAATATTGACATATTTTGGAAAATAATATTTTATCTCGATTTTTTTTTAATTTGATAGTAGTATTGTTATTATTTTGATTCCAGGGAGACCTAAAGCGCTGTTTAATACTCCAAAGATTGTATCGATATTTTTAAATAGGAAATTTTTTCTATTAAATTTAATATGTACTGTGACAAGATTTCACAATACTAAACACTTATTTCAATTTTAAAAGCTACTATATATTAATTCAATTTAAATTATACATATTTTTAAAAGTAATAAATGTTATATATAATAATTATTCCGAATAGATGAATAGAATTCTCACAATAGTAAAGTAAGCCACCAATAGTATGTTATATAGCTATATTCTTCACGCTTCTGCAAATACGATTCTATTGCGACTTGAGTTTAATTTATTATTTATTTTTTACTATAATATATATATATAATATAATAGATCTGCTCGTAAATCGACTAAGAAGAAGAAGAAGTTGGAAAACGTAAATAAATCAAATTCATTTGAAAATTGCAATATTTTTGATTTTATTATACAAGTATGAATAATAAAAAATAATAATATCAAATAACTCACTTAGTTATTCTGAACTCCTATATGAGACTGTAATAATGTCTTATAATATTTCAGGTGCTAACTGAACACAAGCACCCAATTTTTCTAGTAGTTGTATAAAAAGGTTGTTGATAATTTTTCAAAACTTATTCTTTTATTTTATTAATTTTGTTAACAGATATTAAAAACTACAAATATCGATTTATAAAATAAATAGTTCCAAAAACATCTGAAATACTGCAACGTTCTCAAATCAAACTAAGCAATTTATATATATACATATATCTATTGCTATAAATACTATTAAAAGATTACTTTTAATTAGGTATTTATACATATTCACTTAACTACATGCTAATTCTCTATAACTTCTCTATCTTACTCCAAAACAAAGCAAGCACAATAATGTAAGACATTTCAAATTTCTCCAGTTGATACCAGAACCCACTTTCACAAACAGCATTGAGCCTATCTATGCGTTTCACAAGTACATTAAAATCAGTTTTCATATATAAACTGAGCATTATAAGTCAATCCTAAAAATACATTAACTCAGTGTTAACACTTTATAAACTATACAAAAGAAGTTTTCATACGTCACATGCCCACACATAGCACATAAGTTGTTTCTTCTTACTATCAACCAGGAACTGGGTAAAACCGTGTTCATATTATTTAATACAATAATGTAACTAACTTAACATGATATATCATTATAAATTATGAAAACATATATTAATAACTACATTTACCTTTTCCTGGCAACATTTTTAGGTTCACATCTCTAAAGAATATCTGCAATTGGAACCGATTGGTCTAGTGTTTGTGTTTTTCTTTGCATTAATTTTGATAATACAGTTCGTAGCCATGATGTTCCATCGTTTCGGCACCATATCACACATATTAGCTTCAACCGAGTTAAATTTATGCAAAAAGAAATCTGAAGATTTATCACAGGACGCACTGATAGATAAGGTGAGTATATAAATAATTAATATTTAATTTCATATAGAATAGAAAATGAGGAAAAAGTCCAGTAATGCATATCTTTTAATCGCTTCAAAATCTAAAAAAAAAAACATTAAAAATTAAAAGAAATTAATATATAAAAAGAAATTAAAAAAATGAATAAAAAAATATTAAATTTAATGAATAAATAAAATAATAAAATATTTTAAATCTAATATAAATAATATGAATATTTAATAATATGAATCAGTGAATGAATCAAAAAAGTTCTTGGTTTAAAATTTATAAAATATACATTTTCAAGTTGTATTGCATCTATATATATCTATAATATAATTTGATATTCACTATATTTAATATATAATTTTAAAACAAATAAATGAAAACTCTTTCTAATTATAAAAAATAAGTTTATAGTTAAAATTTAATTTTTTTCTCTCCAAGGATTTTATAATATAACATGAATATATATTTATTGTTCTTTTCATACCTTTTATATATAATCTGTATTTATGAGAGATATTGAATAAAATCTTTATTTTTTATCTTTATTTATTTTTCCAAAAATACATTTTTTTATCTATGCATAAAAATAAAGAATTACAATACTTTCGAGAGTGTTACTATAATTATCTTATCACCACTTTATCAGATGAAGCTCTTTAGTGTTATCATATTAGCTCTTTATTATTGTGTTGTTAAAAAAAATTGATATTAAATATTTATATAAAATAAATTTATATAAAATATTTATATTATTTATTTAATATGTATTATTAATATGAGTAACATATACTATATATTTTATTATTTGTATAAATAGCATGCGGTGGAAATAGTTAAAAACTTACAACGACTGCAAGGTATAGATGGTGACTATGACAACGATTCCGGTAGCGGACCTGATCGTATAGCACGTCGTCGGACAATACAAAACTTAGAAAAAGCAAGACAACCGCGTAGACAAATTGGAACACTAGATGTGGCGTTTAAAAAGAGATTCCTCAAGTTGACAGCAGATGAAAATAATCCAGGTAAAAAAAATAAATAAAATTCATGAGGAATTACTTGAAATACAGAATATTTATTTATTTATAATTGAAACCCTTTTTCGTAGGATAAGTCAACTCACTTTTTAGAAATCTAAATTTATTCTATATTTAGTTACTTATGGCTAGTGAGTCAATTAGTATGATAATGAATTCATGGCACCACACTTTTAATGAAATTTAATCAATTTGTAAATAGAAAGTTGTAAATAAAATAGAATATAAAGTTTTAATATAAAGTTACCTAATAAAGATTTAACGATAGATTTGTTGATAATACAAGTTACAATATTTTTCTAATATTTAGACTTACAGATTTGAATAAATCTATTTTGGTGATTTTTATAATATTATTATAATAATATTGAATACTTTCTGTTTATACAAATGAGCATTATCTTCTAAGATATATTAATAGATCTGTTACACCATATCAAAGAATAATCAAGTAATCAGCAATGAAATGTATTCATTTTCTAAAAATATTTTCGATGAATGTAATGACTACTGTTAATTATAAATAAAGGCAAAATAGTTTATTTTCCTTACATGCTAGAACCAAGAAAAACTGGAAAAACTAGAACTAAAAAACTGAAAAAAAAATTTTTGATTTAGTTTCTCATAAAAACATATTTAATTTAAGTCTTTTTCTACTCTGCTTAATCAAACGCGAGTTAGTACTTTTGCTCTATAGTGTCTGTGATCATTTAGACACCCCACCGTAATAAGAACTCCTTTGAATTCTGATAATAAGTTATTCAGACGATTCTATAGAAATATACTTTAATATTTATATATGTAGTATATATATATTTTATATAAAGTATATAACTATTTAATATACATGATGGGAAGGATGAACATATGCATGCAAATCGCAAAAATCTAAAAATTTCGTTAAGAAGTACACTAGTTTTATAATGACATTAGTAGGTTACTAGTTATGTAAACGTACCAGTAAATTGATTATTCCCTTTAATAACTTTTGCAACAGCTGCAAGGAAGATAAAAAAGTTCTTCATATCTATTTTGTCATTGTCCAACATAGCGTAGGTAACACAGAATTACCTACAATTCTATAGAGTCTATAAAGATATAGAGATCTATAAAGATCATAGCCATGTCTATATTTTATTAAATATTCATAGTAGTTTTACAGCCTTTAATAGTTATATAATAAAATGAGCCACTAGTCCAAAATAGATCCCAAGTATTACCATTATAACTAACCTTACTCTATTTATTTACAGCTACACCAATTTTAACCAGACGTATGACTATGCGAGCAGAAACAATACGTGCTTTAGAAGTACGTAAGAATTCTGTTATGGCCGAACGTCGAAAATCTGCAATGCAGACTCTAGGTGCAAAGAATGAGTATGGAATAACAACAACTACAGTGGTAAGCTGTGTATTATAAATATTATTATAATATATATATAAATAAAATGTGTTTTTATAGATTAATAACAATGGCGGCATACCAAATCAACGCAGTGGACGTACATCTACAGCTGGTATAAGCATCAAAGATGTATTCAATGTAAATGGTGGACATGGAGAGGTGTGTTTCTAAGTAGTAGTAGTACCACTAATTTATTATATATCACAAATATTTTTTCAAAATTCATTTGTAATAACACAATAAAACCGAAATAATTTTAACCTTCCCCACTATCATTTTATACTAATATTAGTTAATGTACGTATAGATCATTTTAGTTCCAACTTTTTCATTAATTTTGTAATATATAGTTCTTTATATTCAAATTTAATGTAAATTGTTATATTATTTTTAGCAAATCTATGGTTCCAACGGTGGAGGCACAATAAATCAAGGCTACGAACATGTACTCGACGATGATGATGGAAATTCTTTGAGGTTAACGACGCGAAATACAAATCCACAAGTTTCATGGGGCAACAATACGACTAATACTGGACGTCTGTAATATAACTCAAATGAAATTAACTATTTTGTTTATTGTTAGATATTTAAAATTACATTTTTTTTTTTGTTTGTTTTTTATTTGATATTATTTTATATAATATAATTTATAATATATTAGTTCTTTAGTTTAATGTCACAAAACTATAACTTGAAACTATTCAACTGCCTATGTAAAACTGATGTACTCGTAACTTTTATACTCAAAACTGCCTTTAATTTCACAACTAAAAATATAAACAATATTTTACTTTTTTTTAAATTAAATTAATTAAATTAAATTAGAAAACAAAAAACCAATTGTAAATACATATGATAATAATAATTTTATCAAACAACGAAGATTTTTGCTAATCACACTGCCTGCTGATATTTAAGACTTGTGAAATTGGACGCATACTATATCGTATGTTGGAGGGGAAAGTTGTTGAAGATTCCCAAAATCCTTGTTTAATAAAGTAAAATAATGTTGCAATTTTAGTTTTAGAATTTGTTTTTAATATTTAAAAATTGTTGTAACTGAAAAATTGTTTAATTCGCAACTAATTCAGTCAATTTACAGCAATACCAGTAAATGATATATAAAAAATACTCATTTGTCAATTTGTAATATTATTAAATATTTGTATTGTATGTATATGTAAATTAGTTTATATTGAATAATTTTTTTTAATGTAAAATTGTTTTATATAAATATTCAGTAAGAAAAATCAATTAGTTTTAATTAAAGTATTGGAAATAATTACATTGGCATTTTAAAATTTGCTACTGTCCTTGTAAAGTAATTTGGAGAGGATTTAAATGAAATATTTGATTGACTATGTGGATACTACATGAGTTATAATCGTAAACTATGTAATAGTTCGCTAGCGACCTAGACCTACTGTATAATTTTTAAATATTATTGTCTATTTCTATCGGAAAATCCACCACTGCTAAGTATACTTTGAATAGATCTTTTAGAATTTATTCACTTTTAATAAATTCAGGTACTCAACGATAAGGGTTTTTTAACACGTCAAATGTTGATATTCATTACATTAAGACTTAAATTTAGAGCTAAGTTTATTAGCTATTAGCAGCTAAAAGTTAAAAGTTTTATCCTCACTGCCTGAGTTTATTGTTTCAATTTGAACGACGAAACAGCTAAATTCGACAAAATATTTATCAAGTCAAGTCAAATTGTTTATTTCTTTTACGACAAAGGATGATAATCCTCACGTCAAACATGGTCAGCGGTAAGAGTATTCTCGAGGTAAGGAATAACTGTTGAATAAAATCCCACTCCACCATCCGACACTGCTTGAAATGTAAATGGTAGTGAGTGAATTTTCACTTACGTCACCCAACCGGAGATGTGTAGGTTCATTGCCTGCTGTTCTGACTAATTAAGGTTGACAGTGTCGAGGTGGTTGTGGTTAAAATCCGAATTTATGCGGGAAAAATGGTGGTATTTACTTACTTTCATTCAGCTTGACTTAACGCTTTTATACCGGATACTGTGACCCAAAAATCATGGGACGTTTGATGGGCCCCACTCTTTACCAAGGGGAAAGTTATACGAAATACATAATTCAATTGCAACCGGCAGAATTTTTTGGAATTCCAATGGGTCATCTATCGGCGCATTATCTTAATACGTGTCTTTAGAATACCGTAGTGTTGAGTCAATAAAGCAGGTAATCACGTAAAAAAGTCTAGACATGTCAGACATTCAGGCAGTCATTAAAGCTCTCGACTAAAATCCTGCAAGGATTTTAGAGACAGTAAATGTCCGACAAAATCTGACAGCTAGGAATCAAGTGGTATTACACTAAATACCCAGTGTATATAACATTTAAAAAAAAATTAAAATTTCTCTGATATAATTTATTAAGAGTCCTGAAGTTTGCTAAAAATGGGTATATAAGTATAGTGACTGTACATTTGTGCCACCGTTTTAGTGACATGTTTATCGAGGGTTTTTTGGTCATCATAATTTTCTCATCTGAGAGACATGACATCCGCAAGACATTTTTTTTTCACTTCTTACGGCGTTTTCTCTGCATAATAAAAGTTAAAATTTAAAAACTTACAAATTTTTTTATCCATTTTTGGATGTTTTACAGTTAAAGAAAATACATTTTTGTTTCTAAGAAAGTCTATGTAGAATATTCCTATATTTTTCTACAATATTAAAATGTTAATTGAAGAAGAAAATTTATAAGGATTAAAATTTTTAATCCTAATAGAAATGTTATATATTCCTAGACCTAAAAATTACTTTCTTCCAGGATATAAGCTTCTGCTCCTATAAATATGCAATTTAAATTTGCTTACATTTAAATTTTAAATTGAATTATATTTAATTATACTTTATAAATTTGTATTAGTTTTATTATTAAACGCCAAAAGTACGTTTATTTGTGGAAAAATTATCAGATCCCGAGTCTCTACTATATATTGCATATATTTCTTGAACAATTTTAAACGTTGAGAATATTTTTATAGAGGTATATGTTTGAAGTAGATGAGTATTGACTGCATACATGCGTTAAGTGAAGGTGGTTTAATTTGTAATTAATTCTTTGACATTTTTATATTTTCCTAGTTTTGACAACTCTTATTTAAAGAACTTATATGAGCACTGCAACGAGTCTAGAGAAATGGGAAACATATAAAACATATGTTATGTGATTATATTATTTATTTATTTTTAACAGATTTTAGTTTGGATCATTAAATGCACTAACATTTCACAACAATGGATCCATTAGACTTAGAACATTTTCATTTGACAACATTATCAGTTTATTTCAGATGCTTTAGTTGATATAGAGTTAGATATATATATTTCTTTCTTATATACTATAAAAACGCATAAATCACTACATTAAGTTGTGGTAACAATTACAGAATTTAAATTTAAATGTGCTATCATTTTATATTTATCTTTTCGTGATTTTGTTTTTTTTTTGTTATTTTTTGTTATTTTTAATTTATTTATTTGTTTCTCAAGTAAGTACAAGTACGATTGGCTGCTGCAATAATTTAGAGTTGAATATGATCGCCTTTTTTGGCTGCAATTGGCAATTTCTCACCTTGTAAGAAAGGATTATTTCCATCAGATTTACCAAAATTATAAAACTTCTTAACCACTGCATTAGTATTATCAATGCCATTATCATTCTGGAATTGATGCATTAAAAATTTTTCCATTGTAGAAGTCATTTCATTGTTATTGGCACTCCTATCCTGACCAGCACAATCAAACATATGTTCATTATCACAGGTACATTCCTGTGCTGCTTGAAATTCACGACTAAAAATAGCAGTATTTTCAAAATCTGATATGCAACCTTGGCTCTCCTCATAACCAAATGGGCATGGATTTGGTGGATTACAGTAAGCAGGTAAACTAGCATCGGTCTTAACAATAGTATTGTAACGATTAGGTACCTCACCCATTCCGCCAGATACATATTGATGACCCCAAAGTGAGTTATGTGGTAAATATTCTTGATCACGTATTGATGGATGTGAGGCACCACCAAACATGCTACGATACTCGTAATCCTCGGATGGGTGATTCTTAGAAGAACGTGAAACTAAATCAACTGCTTTTGGTAAATCTGCGTCCATATCGAAATAATTATTGTTAAGCGGATCCATATCCTTATCCATACGACTCAATATTTCCGAAAGTAAAACATCCGCAAATATATTTTCCTTTGATATGGGAGTATAGGCGTGCACATAACAATTCGCTGAAGCCAATAAAATAGCAAGTACCATGTACTTTTTAGCCATTGCTGCTGCTCCTAAAAGTAATTTTATTTTAATGAAAAGTTTTCAACAGTTATTCTCAACTTTTCTTTCCATTTTTTTGGAAATTATATAAAAGCAGTTCTACTAACCAAATTTTTGCAGTAGCATATTGCTGTACTCTTTCCGAGTGATTAATTTTTCACTTATTGATTTTTTCTATATTTGCTGCTGTTACTGTGAGTGCATGTATAGATACTCCACTACTCAAAATGATTGCGTGTATGATAATCATCGCACCAGTTGAGTCCATCGGAATTTCATTCAAAAAATTTTCCAGATATGAACATTGCGCAGAATCGGATTTGTTGTCAAAATGTACGTTCTTTATTAGGTGAAACAGTAGTTTTTTTAAATTTTTTTAACTGGTAATATTAACACACATTTTTCACACTATTAAGAAATAATATTGCGTTAAACGGTTCTTATTTAGTTAGTTGTGGTGGAAGGAAGAACGAGTCCTCCTCAATTAGCTAAAAAAGTCGTTTTGAATCCTCAAAACCTCGTAAAAGTGGGTAGAAGAGAGAAGGTCAAACTAGAACCAACCAGAGGCATTTATAAAAGCAAGAATCTGGTCAATGCTACTGCTTGAGATATCGCCGAGTGTGTTGAAGAAAGGGGTTCCCAGAAACTTAAGCCTAGTTCTGGCCAAATCTGGACATAAACATATCAGATGTTCTGGTGTCCTTTCTTCCAGAGCTGGTAGACACGCATTACAGAGATACCACAGGGCAGCCCATCTAGCTCCATGCCGACCTATGGTCCAGTTCTAGTTTTTGTAGAATTTATACCCGGAAAATATTTTTATTTAACTTCACAGTTCTCCACGTGCTGTTGTCACGTGGAGTTATTAAAATGAGAGATATTTCTATAAACTATTTAAGGGATATTAATACAAAATTTTTTTATTTCTCTATGCCCTCTTTATCTAAATCTATATATGACCACAATTTACAAGTCCTGTTTCTATTTTCTTCGATCTTATTGTGTCGTCACGATTATATCTTTGTTGTGCTAAGGAAAACTTAAGGGGTTCTACATGACATACATATATTTTCCCTCTTGTTTTCCAACAGTAGTAAAATTTTGTTTTTAACTGTTTAGTTTCCAAATCTCATAGTATGTGTTCCCATAAGTTCTAGTGATAATTAGTACCAAATCAATTTTCATACATATTTCAGTTCCAGAAACTCGAAAATTCATTTTCCTGCAAGTTCTACCAGATGGAGCTGTAAACTTAATCATCGTACAGATTTTGCACGTGAGAAACTAAAAGATGCGAACAATTTAATCTTTTGAGTTATTCATCCAGTCCTGAATAATCAATTAACCCCTCAAATTTTTTAAGAGGTTGTTGACAAATCAGTCTCTGCCGAATTCTGCTTTTTATTTTGATACGTTTGTTAAATAATAAGGGAACTCATCCAAGTATCAAATTTATAATTTTATGCCTTTACGTACACGGTTATATGAACGCACTTAATGAAATATTTGTGTAAATTTATCAATCTGTTGTATGATAACACTATTTATATCAGCTTTTGCTTGTGTTGGAATACAAGTGTGTATTGACAACAAATAAATTTATACGATATAAATTTATTCGGCAAAATTTTCCTGTAAATTTATCAAGTTGTGTAACCTATTTTTTATATAAAATATGACACTTCATTTACCAAGTAAATATATTTATACATTTGTAAGGTTTATAAGGCATTTAACAGTTTAGATAAGTACCCCTAGTATGTTAAGGCATTGAATCTTTTCTGTCGCAAAGCCGATTGATTTAGGAAAGTCTCGAAAATCAATTTTTAAAATTATTTGAAAATTATTTTTCGATATATTTTAACAGTTTTACTTTCTATATATTTTTAATTTTTGCAATTGAT